AGTTTGAATTTGGGGTTTGTATCAGAGTGGGCAACTTTGACAGGTTTAGATTGTTTGATGCTTGTGGATTTGCAGGTTATGGCCTTGGTAAGGCTTGCTTCATGTTTGTGCAGGTTTGGATATTGCTGGCTTTGCTTTGATTTAGGCCATGCTGTTTAGGTCTTTTGACAGGTTTTAAGCTGTTTGATGCTTAGGCTTGCATCATGTTTTTTTTTGCTGGAGGCTTGAATAGGTTATGTGTTTGGATGTTTAGGCGGGTATGCTGCTGTATGGTTTTTGAGCTTCCGGGTTTTTTTGACAGTTTTAAGCTGTGTTTAGTTTTAAGGGTTTTTTCGTTTCTTTTTTTCTCCCCTCTTCTCCTTGATTTAAGCATTTTAATATTGCTTATAATCTGTTTTCTGAAAAAGCATCCAGGTTGGAAAATGATGAAAAATGACATTGCTTGCATTGTTGGTTTTTAACCTGCATACTTTGTGACAGTTTTCCATATTTTGGACAGTTGTGCACCTTTTGGCAGCTTTTTGACTTAGTTGCTTTGACATTGGAACTCAGTTTGCCTTTGGATTTATACTTGCACATGCTGTTTGTTTTGAACTATGCAAGTTTTGAATTTGTGCATTTTACAACTTTGTGCATTCATGTTTCATTGCAAGCACTCTATCCTTCTTTGTGAACCGGGAGAAATCCCGTGATTTGCAAAGAGGGTAAAACTGATTCCGGCCGTTTGCTTTTAATGATGAATCCTCTTTTATCTGTCTGTCTCTTTAATTATTTATCTGTTTCTGACTCTTTCTTCTTTTCTTTGCAGATAAAAATTAAATGGAGAGGAATAGCAACAAATGGAGGATGAAGAATTGAAGACTTAGAAAAATATTAGGATAGTTTTATTTAAATTTAAATAACTGTAATATTATTATTGTAAATACTTTGTAAATGAATACTCGTATTTAAATAACAATTGTGACAAATATTTAAAGATGAAATAAAAATCCCTTTTATCCAATTAATTCTTTTCTTCTTTTCAATTGTTCATTTTATTATTTATAATTCTTTAAATTATAATAATTGAAAATAAATTCCAATTATTTAAACTCAGAATGATAAACAATTAAATAAACAATGTGATTTTAGCATCGATCAACTAATAAACCTGGCGCTTCACAAATCCAAAGCAAAGCACAGTCAATCACAACAACTGCCCAAATGTCTTTTCCTTTTACTGACTTTAATCAAACACTGCAAACTCAATCCAAATGCATACTTTCACTGATTTAGTCACACAATGCGAATTCAATCCAAATGCCTCAGCCCACATCTCGGAATAACTTGAAAAGCACTGTAGAATTAAATCTTTCTGAGGAACCGCGCATAAAAAACCATAATTCCTGATCAAATGCCAAAGAAACGTTCGCCTGATCAAAGTTGAGCCAAAATTGACCAAAACCCTAAGCAAACTGTTTGAATTGTTCTAGAGCCATGAAGACCAATGAAAACCCTAATTTTGTCTGACTGACGAGAAAAGTCTGTTTGACCGATTCTTGAGCCAGTTTGAAAAATCAGGAAACGCCCGAAGCTGTGATTTCTTTTGGAAAAATACGAGGGCAAATTTTGGGGTACAACATCATCATAACCTATTATATCTGTTAAGCTGATATCGACATATTTCCCCCCTTTTGGTGTTGACAAACCATCTCCCTGGGGGTGATATAGAGGAAATATTAAGAAGAAAGAGATTGGATATACTCCTCTAAAAGTATACTTCTCTAAACAGTTGGTAATATCAAAAAGCGAGAAAACAAATGATCATATAAGAAGGAAAATAAAGAAAAATAGATAGAAAATATTCATATATAAAAGACTCAAGTTATCTGATAAAAACAGAAATATAAGAACATATATGCACATTTAAAAAAGGACAAAATATCATAATTCTCTCCATATTTGAAAACATCCAACTTCGAGATTAATTCATTAGGCGGAAGTTTATGTTGGCATATGGGGTTGAATTTGGGCTTTATGTTTGCAGTTAGAACGTTTCCCTCTTTACTTTTAGTCAGATTTAAATGGAATCTTCATTACATTGTTAGCATAATCAACACAAAGAATTAGATGTAAAATATGAAGGTGGAGATTCATAAATATAAAATGATACCAAGATATACCTATTTAACCAAAATGAAAAATATACGTGATATAATTAATCATATCTCGATTTTTACTTCTTCTAGTGACTTACCTACTTCATCTTTGGCTTAGAATTTGGGGTTTATTTTTCCATTCCACATTACTTAAAAACCTCTTCGATATGTTGACTTTCTTAAGGATGTCTTCCCATTTTGAGATATTCATATGTTATTCTTGAAGATGATGATTTTCAGAGTTGTCCATTCTTTGGGTTTGTTCTTCCTTATTTTTTTCTTTATCTTCTAAGAAGAATTTTCTAAGAATACATGCACAAGCAAAAACTTATACCTCTACTACAAAAATAGGGTTAGTTTCTTCAAAGGTAACCTGTACGAATTCTTCTATGATCATGGTCTTTTTATGATTTCAAAAAAACTTTTAATAGAAGAAGAAATATAATGTCATTTCCGAGTTTTAACGATTTTGCATATAGATAAATTAAACCATACTCTTTTACCTTTGTCACACAATTTCTTAATAATAAATAAATTTTGTTATAAACTTTAAATGATAAAAAAAAAAGCTCAAGGTAGGATTAAGGCCTCTTAACAATAGTAGCATAACCAATAATTTTACCTGTGTTGTAACCATAAGAAACATGACCTCGCTTTTAGGAGTAAAAGAATAAATAATATTTTTATCTTCGGTCATATGCTTTGAATCGTCACCATCAAGACACCATTTTGAGTTCTAGCTATAACACACATCTGGATCATAACTTAAAATTTGTACCTTTGATACCCAAAGTTTTATTTGGGTCTACTCACGCTAATGGAATACAAATTATTTTTAGGGTTAATCATAAGTAGGGTTGATCATAATATTTATCCCCGACTGCAAGTTTAACTGAGGGAATATATCATAACAGTTGGTGAGATTTGAAATGGGGGTGAATCCAAACATTTCCACTCAAAATGGAGAGAATAGTTCATAAATAAAAAATAAAAAAAAATAAAATACGCTTAAATGCAATTGTTGGGATTCTAAGGGGTTGATCACAATCTTTCCCTTTAGTTTCTAACATAAGTGAAGGAATAGGTAGTTTAAAAAAAAAATAGAAATGTGGCGCTCTTATGATTGCCACCATGGTTGTTCGTTGGCTGAGGTGAACGTTTTGCTATAAAATATATTATTTATAGTAATTATTCTTACATACATCAACATTATCCGTACGCGAGCAAACAATGATGGTAGGTTGAAGGTGATCACGATAAAAGGTCTTTTGGTACGGTGGTAGAAATCTTTAGTGATAAAAAAGGGAGACCTAAAAAGTTAACACTCAAACGCTCAAGTTAGACAATAAGCTAAGTGACAATAGGATAGGCAAAACTTGCAAGTGTGAGAGTAAATAATATTTAGACATAACTACGAGTCATGTTTACATACAGTTAGAACCGTCACCGATTGGTCCGACGTAACACGCAAATGGCAATACATTAATGGGGTTTCTTAGTACACCCTTATTATATGGGTAAAAAGTCTCTAAAAATCTCAAAATATCCTTCGGATATGCATATCCAAACGAACCCCTATATTTCATTTTCAGAGAGTTTTCGGATATGCATATCCGAAATAACCCGATATTTTATCTTCAAAAGGTTTTCAAATATGCATATCCGAAATGATTCAATATCCCAATTTTATTTTGATTGTATTTTGAATTTAATTTATAATCATTCTAAATCTGAATAATATTTATTTTAAATACGTACAATTTTGTTGCTCTAATTTATTTCAGATTTGTTTTTATTATGTTTAGAAAGAAATAATTATAGTTTTAAATTAAGTTAAGACTTAAATCAAAATATATAAAAAATTTATATATCTTAAAGCATAATTTCTCCACTTTGTTTAAAAAATAAAGATTATATTATAAATTTGTTCTAATCATTTATATAAATTGTACGGAAAAAACAAAGAGAAGACAATAAAAATACTATTTTAATTTGGAATAGTTTTAAAAAAAATACAATAAACTTGCTTAGAAATTTTAAAATCTAAATAACTTATTCTAAATAAGAATTATTATTGTAATTTATAATTTATTTCTATTATGTTATTTTGATAAATAATTATTTTAAAAAGTTAATAATAATTAAAGATTTTAATTTTAATTTCAAATGGTATGTTTAATTCGAATATATATATCCAAAAATTTATTGAAAATGAAATATTAGATTATTTCAAATATATATATCTTAAAATTCTTTGAAAATGAAATATAAAAATCCGTTCGAATATGTAAATTTGAATTAAAAAGATATTATAAAAATTTCGTCAAAAATCCTAAGAAAAAAGTCGAGATGAAGACGGAGTGGGCTCTAGTTCTGTGTGGAAGTTTACCTGCTCACTAGCTGGTAGAGTCTTTTGGTCGGATTGAGCTTCATTGATTAGACCGATTTGATTGGACTTTTGATTAGCCATAAGCAATGTTGATTATGGTGTTCATATTACCCAACCAGTATTAGAATACGACATTAGAAAAGAAATGAATCCTAAAGAAAAAAACCAACCGCAAGGGAGACAAAAAATGGATAGCAATCATAGAAGAAACCACTGGATGACATGAAAAACAATCTCTTAATTCTTATCCCAAAATTTACCAAAAATCTCTCACTTAGATTACTATCCACATAAAAACACTTGATTTGTAAATCTATTTAAAATAATTCTTTTGAAGGCATTTATACTATTGGTTCAAATAATTACTTATTGAAAATGTTGTTGAAAAACAATTCCACTCATATTTTAACTAATGTATATTTACATTTAGGCTCAACCTAAAGCAGCTAAGGGTTTCAAACTGTAATAAGAATTTATCTGCTTTCTTCTCTATAGCTACGCTCAACAGCTTCACGGTTTAGCGGTTGGATGGTTATAATAGTTTCTTGCACCGGCAACATAGGTGGTGGAGCTTCCGATCCAACAATCTTTCGACAAGTCTCAAGGAGGCACTGTCTGCACTTGGGGCATGATGAGTGTGCCTTTAGCCATTTGTCAATGCAACCAACATGAAAACCGTGGTTGCATTTAGGCAATATGCGCACCTTTTCACCCTTTGTAAATTCTGAGAGACATATCACACACTCCGTATCCAAACATGGTGATTTCAACTCAGTTGAATAACTTACTGTTGGAAATGTTTTGAGTGCTTTCTTCTTGATTCCTTTGTTGGCCAGTTGAGGTGAAGAGTTGCTGCTTGAACTTGAAGAAGTTTCGTTATTGTTGATGGCTACATTTGAAAGCCTTAAGGCACATCTTATGATGGAGTTTAATGCAAGTGAGCAAATAAGAGCACATAATAGAACTCCAAGTATCATCACAACATTTGCATCAGTTTCAGTAAGACCAAAAAATAAATTGGTTGAATTGTTGTGTGTGAGAACAGGAGAGTTGGTTACTGATTGATCATCAGAAGGGCTTTGGAAGAGTAACCTTCTTGTGTGAGATTCCATAAGAAGCTCATGGAGGAGTGGTGAAGTAAAAGAAGTAGAAGCATACATGTTTTTTGTTGGGAAACTTGATGAGTTGGTTATTTAGAATATGACAAGGGATTATATATAGTGCAGTTAAAAAGGTAGAGTTGATATGGTATCTGGCTTTAATGAAAGTTTGAATAAACTATTATTACTAGTTGATCACTATGTCTTTTTGTGCTTTTTTATCCCTTATTCTCCATTTTATGCGAAGAAAAATGTGGCAAGTGGCACCTGGATTTCATAAGGTTAAAGATTTAAAAGGACATAATCCAATGTTTCATCTTTTGGGTCCCTATGAGAGAAAAGAAATAGAACCAAGTGGACAAGTGAGTGGAAAAGGTATATTGTTTTCTTTAGCATGCCAATGTCCTTTTGGTGGTACTCTTGTAACTCGTGACAAGTTGAGGTTCAAAACATTAATCGACATCAATCATCGAATTATGGATGGGAAGACTATAGAAAATGATTCACATTTAAATTTCTTCAAAGTACATCTTAAATCTTTTGAAGTTATCATATCAATTAAATAAACAGTAGTCATAATTCAAAGTATGATGGAAATATTTTAAATTTATTAATTTATATTTTTTCAATTTAAAAAATATTTGATAGAACCAATGTTTTAAAATTTTGACCAATTATCAACTCGATCAATCTGTCGAGTAACTAGATTATTGGTCGGACTAGTGAATTACTGATTGGATCAGATAATTTTTAATAATGTGAAAATATAATTTTATTTTTTATTGATAATATAATTTTTTTTCAAATTTTTGTTAATTTATAGTATTATTCTATCGTATAATTAATTTTTTAACTTTTTAAATTTATTATATTATTATATTATATGATTAATAATAAATAAGTTTAATGAAAATTGCATAAGAGAAAAATGTAATTATAGAATATATATCTCTCTTCTATTTGACTGAACTAGATTATAATCTGTCCAATGCGCGGGGTGTATTTCTTTCATGTTTTCTTATAGTGTGGATATAATATAATGAATTTTAAATTTAAACAAAAATAAAACATTGCATAGAAAGTTTGTGAATTTTTTTTTCAATAACTAAGTATTTTAATTTTTCCCCGCAAATAACCATGTTTCAGAAAACCCCACAAAGGAGGAGTCATCTCAATTGGTGCATACACCTTATTTTAAAGGGGGAGGCGCCATCTCACTTGGCGCCTAGGTGTTAAATGTATGCCCTAAGCCAAGTGAGATGGCGCCTTAGTGCAATGGGCAGACGATTTTTTGTGTTTTTTATTTTAAATGCGGGACGTTACGTAAACGATATAGGATCACGAAAATTCGACTTTTTATTTACACAATACGATTACACAAAATGATTACATAAAAAATACAAAATAATCAGTGGTCTTCCGGAACCCGATAACGACCCGCGGTTCCGCATCCGCATCCTCGCCTTTCCCGTGGTGGGTTTCGTCGCGTTTCCTGTTGTGGCAGGGTCGATGGTCTAGCGAAGTCAATGCGTTCTGGATCCATGAAATCGGTCAGATCTCCATATCTAGAAGATCCGCTTTGGTACAGTCGATTACCTATACCCTCAAAGTTTGGTCGTGTTGGTGGTGGATGGAGTTCCATGGTTGGTCTATAACAGTGGTCGTCTAAGTAAGGGGGGTAGAAAGGAAATGAATCCTGGGGTGTTTGGTATTGGGAATGTTGGGTGGTTTGGTGACGTGGTGGTTGATGGTAAGTTGGGTCGGTTGAGTCATAATCTTCGGAAAATCCCAGATCAGGGCTAAGGTTAGATGTTAAGGGGCCCATATTGGGATATGTAGAAGATTGGAATTGTGTGTGGGGCATGCAGGTGTATTAGTATTGTGATGAAATTGTGGTTGAGTGTGGGGCATATGAGGGTATTGGTATTGAGGTGGTGATTGTGGTTGGTTGTGGGACATGTGGGTGTAATCATATTGTGGTGGTGATTATGGTTGGGTGCTTGTGGTTCTGTTTCATCAGGGAGGTTGGTGGGAAGTTAACGCGTGTTGGGTTTGTTGTTGGGGAAATGAGGGTTGTGCCCATTGTGTTTGTGGGTCAACCAAATACCTTAGATGAGACACGTGCATTTCTGAGTTACTAACTGATATGTACCAAGATAAATATTGATCAGTGTGTCGCATATTACCATGGTTGAGGAAAATTGGGAATTGCAAGACATGTCGGTGATGCCTCTGCCACATCTTACACCATTCTGGAGAAAAATCTTTCCATTTGGTAAGACCCCATTGGGCGTCGACCCTTTTGAGATGCCACGGGGACAAACAAGTTGGATCGCAGGATATCTCTTGATGCATTCCAAACCGCATCTTGACACGATCGTTGTGGTGCATCTCCACAACATTGAACCGTATGATTGTAGTCTTTGCGCTCCAAATTGCTGCATCCTCGGAGTTTGGTTCATGGTCCAAACCCAAATATGGTCTCCAGACAAACTGCGGATAAAATTAAATCAGCTTAATGAAAATGTAACAAATAAATAATTTAAAAGTAGAAAAGTTGAAAGGTATGACGTACATCACCTGGGCCAAGGTGATCCAATAGATTGCGATATAGAGCGACATTGAATCTTGGATTCTTGCCGTAATCCATACCCCTAACGCAGTACCTAAAGAAATTGAAAAATATTTTATTTTTATCATATATTTGGTGAAGAGATGAATAATAATAAATGATATAAGTTATTGACTTACTTTGTTGCGTACGGGAAAATAAATACGTTGTTGTTGACGGGGTTTAGGGACTCCATTCTCCACCAACCTCAGGCTTGAAGTAAAAAAGCGCATCCATAAAAAAGTAAATTTTTCCTTGATTGATTTTTACACAAGGAATTGCATAGATGGGCTAAAACAGCAGAACCCCAACTATACTTTCTAGTTTTTTCAAAGTTTCTAAGTAAATTTAAATACATGAAATTTACACTATTCTCCGTGCTTTCAGGAAATAAAAAGGTTCCAAAACGTATCATTATATAATTTCTAGCTTTTATTACCTTAGCTAGCTCGGAGGAATTTTTGTTCAACTCCAGAGTTGCATAATGATTTTTGAGTTCAGTAAGTAGTATACCCTGGCCTCTCGCACCACCACCTTCAACCATATCCTTGCCCAACAATTCCTCCACACATGACAAACTTCAACATGGAAAGAGATGAACCGTCATCTAATTTATTTTTCAATCCGTATATGTAGTCGAATGTAAACTTAAAAGAGAAAGACACATTTCATAATAGAGAAGAATGTATCCGAGCCATAAAAAAGTTTCACATGCTCAACTCGGTCGATTTTAAGGTAGACCGTGTAAATCCAGAAAGGTACAAGATCAAGTGTATCCACCCAGATTGTATGTTCAAGCTCACTACATCATATTGTTGGGTCATAGGTTCTGTGTCCACCCACAAGTGTGTCAATTCTACTCAATCACATGATCATCAGAAACTAAATTATGATTTCATATGTCAAGAAATCCTACCCCTCGTCAGCAACGATTCATCATTGAAGGTGAAAACCATAATCTCTCACATCACTACGGTATTTAACTATACTCCGTCATACCGAAAGGCGTGGTTAGCAAAGACCAAGGCGATTGAAAAGGTATATGGAAACTGGGAGAAGTCATACAAATAACTTCCTCGCTACCTGAATTCACTTCAGACTTATTCTTCAGGTACTCTTTACATTATGGAAACACTACCGACGTACGCCCCAGATGGTAGTCAAATCACCGGAAATGGAATATTTAGTTGAGTGTTCTGGGCTTTTCAACCTTGCATCACAGGGTTTGCGTCATACAAACCAATTATTCAAATTGATGGGACTTGGTTGTATGGGAAATACAAAGGCACGCTACTGATGGCAGTTGCACAAGATGGCAACAACAATATTTTCCCAATTGTCTTTGCCCTAGTCGAGGGAGAGACTGGTGTGCTTGGAGCTTCTTTCTTAAGAATCTACAAACACACGTGGCTCCTCAATCAGATCTCTGTTTTATCTCTAATAGACATGCATCTATTGAGAGTGCATACAACAATCCTGAAAACGGTTGGCATGACCCTCCTTCTATGCATGTCTATTGCATTAGACATATCGTCCAAAATTTCACGAAGGAGATTAAAGACAAAGCTCTTAGGAAACCGATTATGAATGCAGGGTATGCATTAACACAACCTACGTTCAAATATTATCGCAACGAGATCTGATTATCAAATCCAAACGTCGGTAGGTGGATCGATAACATTCCGGTTGAGAAATGGACTAGGTCATACGATAATGGACAACAATGGGGCCACATGACAACAAATCTGATTGAATCTATGAATAGTGTATTCAAAGGCATACGAAACCTCCTAGTAACTGCTTTGGTTAAATCAACATATTTTAGGATGATTTCATTGTTTTCCAAAAGAGGTGAAATATGGAATGATGTGTTGCAATCGGGACAACTATGGAGTGAAAGTTGCATGAAGTATATTAAGGCAGAAAGTGCCAAAGCCAACACCCATCTGGTTATACGGTTCGACCGACATAGCCATAACTTCATTGTCAAAGAGACAATCAACCACAATGAGGGGCTGCCAAGACAAGAGTATAGGGTTATACTACCTTCTCGTTGGTGCGATTGTGGCAAGTTTCAAGCCTTTCGTATGCATTGATCTCATGTTATTGCTGCGTGTGCCTATACTCATCAAGACGCATTACAACTTCTGTCTCCTATTTACAAGTCTGAAACCTTGCTCAACGTATACAACAACAGCTTCCCTTTGGTAGCAAAACCTGATTATTGGCCTGCATACGATGGCAAAATAGTATGGCACAATGAACAAATACGAAGGAATAAAAAGGGTCGTCCCAAAAGTAAGCGCATCACAACTGAAATGGACTCCCTTGATAAGCTGTAAAGAAAGTGTGATTTATGTCGTCAGGTTGGACACAATCACAAAAATTGTCCGACTCGGGCTACTAGCTCAACCACATAAAAATTGTATTACAAAACATCTTTACTTTT